GGAATAACCATGCTACCAACTACCATGGCAGTAGGTTTGCGTTGTATGAATGTATTGTCCATTAAAGAGCATGTGTGCTTGTTGCAATTGTTTGATTGTCTTGGTATACTTGTCCGACTTCAATAAAACTTGGTGTACTATCTGTTATTATTATACTTTCATATTCCTCTATAACGGGAGACGTTGGCATATCAAGTAACTTTAGTGTTCCAGACGAACCTGCACAAAAATAAAGATAAATACTGTTATGAACAGTTTGTAGAAATTTTGTAGATAATTTATAGAAACATTGACATTCTGTATTTCATATTAATTTTTCAAATGATATGTATTGTTATTGTAGAATAAATGTAGAAATTTTGTAGATATTATGAGAATCCATACTGATATATATAGATTTACTCTGACATGTGGTTTATTTGTAGTTAAAATGTAGATAAAGTGTAGGGTATTGACATACAACCAAAATTTGATAGAAAAATTAACAAGCCAAACCTACAGCTGTGTTCTCATTGGTGATACTCAATTCCATATTGAAATCACGAACAATTATACATAGCGGATATGATCCTAAGTTTTTGTTTTCCTTTTTCGTCTCCATGTATACACGAACACCCATATCGTTCCTAATTTCTATTGGAGGACAATGCTTGGTGACAATGTATTTGATTTCTATAATTTTTTCGGATGTATCGATCATTAATTGCTGTGCTATTGTAGAAATCAATAGACTATAACTCGCATCTTCATCGACTACAATGCCATCGACCTAAAATTCTCTAAATCTCGCATAGCTATCCCAATTCTCATTCAGTTGTAGCATAATTGGAATTTTGGACATAATTATTTTTGTTGCAGAAGAATTATAGAAAATTTAGTCGTTTTTTATTTTTGTGAAATCAGAAAAAAAGTTGAAACAGGGTGTTTCGCAAAAACAGAGTAGCTAAATTTAAAACGAAACCGACAATAATTATTAATGTGCGTGATTTGCGTTGTAGAAGATCTGGAAGAATATTTAATTCTCCAATTTTAGCGCGTCTAAATAAGGAAGCCTACAGCTACAATGATTTCTTATTTAATGAATTGTCTATATTTTATAGAAATACTATTAGCATGGCGGATAATATGCAAACTATGAACATATTTAGTAATATAATTTCCTATATGGTATAGGAACGAAAATTTTCCATTTTAAATTAGTAAATATCAAATTCCAAATTTTTTGAAACCAAGATAAGTGGGCTCTAGTCATTTCTAACAGATTGTAGATCCTTCCTAACAACTTTCTTCCATTTTCTTTGTGATTAAGTAATAAATATTAAACCGATATTAAAATATCCTTTTTGATTGTACATAAATTAATTACTTCAACTTTCTTGGGAAAAAAATACTTTTTAGTTCTTTATAAAAAAAAAAGATATTTCAATTAGTTTGATGAACTTAAGCTATCTCAACACGCCCACTATAACCTATTATTTACCACTACACAGAGAGTTGTTAGTTCTTAATTTTTTTTAAAAAAACAATTATTGACGAACGAAAAAATCCCAATCTAATGGGGTTTTTGCATTTATATCCGATTTTGGGGTCACAATTGAACCTATATCCACTTTGCAAAAAAATTTGTAAGCTTACCCACTTTACGACCAATTTCAGACTTATCAGGTCTGAAGTTAAAAAAAAATATTCTGAAGTGAAAAAAAAGTGCACTTCAGATGCACTTAAGACCAAATAGGTCTGAAGTGCAACCAATGGTTTCATGCACTTAATGTCAATAAGTCTAAAATGAAAAATTGCACTTCAAATGCACTCAAGGCCAAAAGGTCTGAAGTGCAACAAACGTTTTCCTACACTTAAGACCAATAAGCCTGAAGTGACAAATTGCACTCCAGTTGCACTTAAGGTTAAATAGATCTGAAGTACAACCAATGGTTTCATGCACTTAAGGCCAATAAGTCTGAAGTGAAAATTTGCACTTCAGATTCACTTAAGGCCAAAAGGTCTTAAGTGCAACAAACATTTCCGACACTTAAGTCCAATAAGTAGGAGGTGAAAAATTACACTTTTGATGCACTTAAGGCCAAAAGGTTTGAAGTGCAAAAAACGTTTCCTACACTTAAAGACAATAAGTCTGAAGTGAAAAATTGCACTTCAGATGCACTTAAAGCCAAAAGGTTTGAAGTGCAACCAATGTTTTCATGCACTTAATGCCAAATAAGCTTGAAGTGCAAATTGCCCAAAAATAGAAATTTGTTCTTCGAATTTTAATAACCTAATATACGACTTAATACTTCAAGGTACTCCAAATGAGTTCAAATTTGAAACATAACTTCCAAATATCATCAAGAACAAATCTCAATCATCAATAAATCCAACGAACCCATTTTGTAATTAAGAAAAAGAAAAAGAAGAAATCCTAAGGAATAGTAAAAAATAAAACGCCACAACAGTTCACCACTATAAAACATTATAAATTACCTTAAATATATTCACAAACACCATATAAAATCATTGTTACCCGAAAAAGAAAGAGGATAGTTGCTGGGCGGAATTGGCACAGTGAGCCACTTCTAGAGTTGTTTAAATGATAGTCCATATTTGGGAAGTATATAAATTTTAACCACTTGTATTATTAATTAACGACTAATATGAAAAATTAGGGGTGTCAAATTGGCAAGTTGGGCTGGTTCTGGAAGGGTCAAAATGGGCTGAGTCAATAAATGAGCGGGGCAGGTCAATGACTCACCCAAAAGTTACTTAGGCTTAGATGGGTTGGGTCAAGATGGGCTAAAATTTGGGTCATAACTCAACCCGTCCAACTCTATCAAGCTTTAATTAATGTGTGTTATTTTCTTATGAATTGTTTAATTATCAAGTAATATTTTTTTTCTTTTGTTATAATCATATATAACATATCAAACAAAAAATAGAATTAATTTAAAGATATTTTAGCAAAGTTACTCACTGATCAATTTGGACTACAATTAGCCTAACTTTAGATGGCTATATCAAAATGGACTAAGTTCAATAAATGAGCGAGTCAATGATCGACCCAACCTTAAGCGGGTCAAATGAATTTGGGCTCAAATTGCCACCCTTACAGAAAAGAGAACTGGGATTTGTTTCAAGCATTGTTGGTTTGAAGATCAGAGACTTGCGTCTTTTATTTCCCTCTTGCTTCTACTTCATTGTTATTTTCTTCAAAACTGCCTGTAGTTCTTGACATGTTTTTATAGGTCAAGATACAAATATTTGATTTTATATACTCATATACTTATAATTGGTATGTGGAGTTCTTGGATCGATGTTAGTCTCTTAGGATCAGAGAATATGTTTGTATAAGATATTTGTTCTCATTCAATAATTATTTTAGATCTGCCTTTGAGGTTTTAAAACTTCTTCGACTATCTTCGCTGCTTAAATTCCCTACACCCACATTGTTATTATGATGCTTTGCTATACACATATATATTCTCGTGTTCAAACTTTTAAATAATTAACTTACTTTTCTTTCTTGTTCATTCCATTTCGTTTAAAATGCTGCCCTGTAAATACCAACTCAGCTTAGGGTGTTTATGGTATAACGAAAATGTTTTCACAAGAAAATATTTTCTTGGAAAACAAGTAATAATCTTATTCATTTTCCGGTGTTTGGTACGCAAATTAAGGAAAATAACTTCTCAAGAGTATTCATAAACAATTTAAATACAATAAACATGAAGCCATAAACTTTCAAACCAATAACCTTCTGAACCCACAAATTTCACAAACTTCCGAACCACTGAACTTTCGAAACCGCGAACTTTCGAACCCGTAAACTTTATAATTTCTAAACCTGTAAACTTCCAAACACATAAACCTCCAAACTCATAACTTTGGAACTTGTAAAATTTTGAACCTGTAAACCGAAAGATAGAAAAAACTAAACTGAAAATATATANGGGGGGAGGGGTAGGGTTTGGCAGGGTAGGAGGGGTGAGTGGTGCAGAAAAACAAAAAAACAGAAATTTAAAATTACAAAAAAAGGTAAAAAAAAATAATTTTTTTGCAGAGGGAGGGGGTAGTAGGGTGGTGACGGAAAGAAAAATTGAAATTTGAAAAAAAAAACTCTTTAGAGAGGGTGGGGAATAGGGTGAGAATGTTGAGAAGGAGTTTTGGAAAATGTTTTCTTTCTCTTCTCTTGATAAGCAAAACATTTTCCTCCAATTAGAAGAAAATGAGTTCATAAGGAAAATATTTTCCAAAACATTTAAGTCAACCAAATATGAAAAAATTAGAAAATATTTTCCTTTCGTACCAAACACACCCTTAATGTTGCAACTTTTCTTTAATAGTGAACCTGTTTAAGCATAACCAAGAAGAAGGGGAAAAAAAAAGAGGACTTGATTTTAGTTTAAGAGACTAGAGTGTCCCATTTTTTCTCGTAAATAGAGATATCAAGGTTTCTTGAAAGAATGACCAGAGAAAGAAGATATGGTTAGTTTAGAAGCTTACTTGTGATTTTCTAAAATAAGTAAATGTTGGACTAACTAATGAAGGAAATATGGAAATCTTCTATTTGGTTTTTGAACCAGCGAGGGAGCTAGGAAATGTAATTAACCCTAGTTTCACGCTAAGTTAGTAATTTTGTTACACGTAGCATGACAAATAAAAGACCCTCTATACATATATCCTTATCTCATTCTATTCTTGTTGCCTTACATGTTATGACCTTTAAC